CCGGGCAGGGCTTGAGGGGGAAGGGAGCCCGGCCGGCCCAAGAGGCAAGGGGTGCGAAGGGGACGACGGACGGCCACCCCCCCTCTTGCTCATGGTTTGGCAGTGGGGGGGTCCTATTGTGACCCCTGGGATGGGGCCGCGTGCCCCCCCACCCGCATCTGGGGAGGGGAGGGGGCGCTCCTGGGTTCTTTTCCGAACAGGTGCCTCTTTTGCTCTCCGGGAAGTGGAACCTCCGTAGAATGAAACTGGCGGCCTCTTTCTAATGCCACGGCATCCCCTTGGGACACTTTGCAAGGGGCCTTGACACCCGTCCCCGTTTCTGGTGTTTATTGGAGAGGCGGGAGTGGTGAGCGAGGTGGGAAGGAGGAGGAAAATAGGAGGAGGGGGGTATGCATGCATGCATGTATGTATGTGCGCATTTAAGTATGTCTGTCTTATTAATCTCAGTGCTCTTCTTGTTGGTCGTTTAATGTTTGTTGTCACATTGGTAACCCTCCTTTCTACCCAGGAAGTCGGGGTCCCAAATCTTATCTTCACTGCAAGCTTGCCAGGTACATACATACAGGAGAGAGACAGAGACAGACAAGACAGCGAGAGAGCAGACCAGGCCATCCACTAAAGCTGATGGCTGAGCCCTGTCTCCAGACTGGTCTTCAAATTAGGAATGAAGAGGTGTGGCCCTCTAAAGGCTGCCAGCAACCATCATCCTCTGCCACTGTGTGTACCAACCGGCCTTAGTGGGAATGGCTGTCCTGCATCCCTCTGCTCCTCACCCCTGTGTTTTTTTTAAATGAACAATTTTTAATGGACAGCCAGGTTTTCTTTTCAGGTGTTCTGTTATAGCCAGTTCAGAGTCCAGTGGCAGAGAATAGAACATTTCACAAGGGAATATTTTGCATGGGGTCTTTCCCATCCTCATTGAGCTTGCATTTCCTACTTGAGGGAGGTTGGAAACATGTGGTCTTGTGAAGGTGCATGACACGTGGTTAAAACTTGTGTCTTATTGCAGTAATGTTCTCCCTTTATTTCAAGAATTTTGCAGGATCAAAACAGTTAAAGCAAAGCAAAGCATTAATGCTCTAGAAATTGCATAACCTTGGTAGGGTCACCAATTAGTAAACAAAGCAAGCTAATCTGCAAGCTGAAGGCAATCAAAAACAGGTCGTGGTACTTTGCCAGCTAGTTAACACTTAAAAGATTTAGAGCTTTTAGCAATGAGCTCTCTGTCTGTAGTTTGATCCTCAGCAGTGGCTCCTAGTCCTCTAAGATGTGACTGTCTATAAGACACATGTTTGAGAAAGACTGATGTGTTTTAGCAAACTGTCATCCAGCTCATCTCATCTTCATAAGATCACCCAGGTACCATGTGCCTTCATAAAACCATTGGATCCACAAGAGGAAACTGCTTTTTTTAAAAAAGGTGGGGGAAAACAAAAATGATTTATGCAGCCCATCTCTGCAATTTTAAACCAAGGAGTTAAAGCCTTGTTACAGAATTTAAGGGCATTGAAAAAAAATAGAATTTAAATAAAGAACGTTTTTTTTAAAAAAAAAGCATTTAAAAATCTCAAACCACGGAGCACCGCTCTTTAAACAGAAAGAGTTAACATTCCTTTGATTTTAATCCATGAACTGGCAGGGCCTCCATTTGCAAAGCGAGGGGAAGGTTGTTGTTTTTGCGTCCTGGGGTTGAGCCGCCAACATGGCTTGGATCGGGTAGCCCTGGAAAGTGGGTGCCGGTATTAAGAGTTGTTTTTGTGAAGGCGCAGGGCTAAAAAAAAAACACAAGTGTTGAAATAGCAAGGTTCGGTTTCTGCCTGGCTCCCGTGGCAGGGCACGGTAATGGCGGAAGGGGAAGCAGCGGGGAAGGATGCTGATTTGATAAACTGACTTGGGAGCAAGAGCAAAAACCGGAGCTGTTGCTGGTCCGGGCCAGCTCCCCCACCCTTTTGCCCTAATTAGAGGTACCTCACCCTTCACGCCGGGCTCATGTTGTTCTCTACGAGTCTGCTTTCCTGGCCAGCACAAACCTCGGCTGTTTAAGTTGCGCCGTTTCCAAAGCCCGGCTTCGACCGGCTGCCCAGTTTGCTTTAGTCATTCAGATTCTGGCGGGGTGCACTTGACTCTGTTTTCTTCTCTCCCCCCCTCCCCTTCTCTTCCCTCACTGCAGAAACCTCTCACTCTTTTTCTTTCTTAAAGGCACCGGAGGAGGATGGCCAGCCCTAAACCCACAGGACTGTCGTGGGGAATCACCTGGTTCACCGTTGCCATCGCCATCTGTGTCCATTTGCAGGTAGGGGAAGTGGCTTCGGCAAGCTGCTTGCAGGCCAGATGACTGATGAATGTCGCTGAGCAAGCCAGCAAACGACAGAGGAGGCACTTACACGCTTCTCTATTGCTGATGCTTCTCTATTGTTGCTGCGTAGAAAAAAAAAGAGGGGTCTTCTTGGTGGTGGTTCCTATCTTCCTTTTCTCGGATTTGATTTCACCTTGTCCATCAGGACGGTCAAGGTGTGGCTCAAAGAGGGAGGTGGTGGGCAGCTTGAGCAGTGGGTTGCGTTGGAGGAGGAAAGGTTTTGACTCCGCCATGAAAGCAGAGACGGGTTGCGTGCAAATGTTGGCAGGATGCCAGCTTAAAAATGAAAAGGTCCCAAAGCAATGAGGATGGGAAGTTCTAGACATAACAGAGAAACCTTAGAGAGTCAGTGGCTGTGATTTTCCAGATTCTTCTTTGGAAAACAAGACAGGGCTATAGCCATTAATCATCTGACCCAGAACAATGTGATAGGTCAGGTTGCGGCTGATGGATCCAGGTGTCAACAGTCCCACGTGTCTATCGGGATCCACCGCTGTGAGCTCGTCTAAGAGTCAGTTTGAGTTGTTATTTCCCTGAGCCTTGATGGCTTGCTTTTTTTTTTTATTTTAAAGTATGGTCTGGGATTGAAAGATTGCAAAGTTGGGTCTGGCTGCCTTATGATGCCCATAGACGTCGTGTTGTTCCAGGACATGGAAAAGTTAAGCATGTGGCTAAACTCAGCTTCCTGTGCTGTCTGGAGCCTGGCCACATCAGCCCGTCACCAACAGGTTAAAATCACATGGAAGCATCTTCTACAAGGGTTTCTTTTAATCCAGGATCACCATCAGGCCTGGGTCTGATCTCACTGTGGGACCTCATTGGTTTGGCTTCTGAAACAAACAGGTGACTGACCCCCTGAGGTCACACCAAGACTTGATGGATACCCAGAATAAATAAAGCACACATCTCTCCTGACGGAATAAAGAGGAGGTGAGGTTGTGAACCGTGGGCAAGGTGTGGCTGAAGGTTCTGCCTGGCTGACAGCTAGGCTGAAATCTGTAGCAGTTCTGAGGCAATGCCTACCGAAGCAATCTGTAGAACGAAGAAGGACTACTTTACATTTCGTCTGCCTTTTCCGTGCGACTCTCCAGGGTGAACGAATCAGCACAAACTGGTTGCAAAGCATTATGGGACTTCCAGTCTAGAAGGATAGTGGATCACAGGTCCCGGTGACTTCTCTAAGATGAGGCGATCCACTCGAGGTCACACAGTGGTTGAAATATAGTAATACATCACAGCTAGAGTAGGCCCATTTGAATCAGTGGGATGCATGGAGGAGCTGACTCAGTGAATTGCCAGCGATTCGGTGGGCCTGCTTTAACGGCCACTTACTGCTGGATTTCAGCCAGTGATATGGGGGGGGGAGAGTGTTTGAATCCTGACCCCCCCCCACATTTCAATCACATGACTTCTCAGGGTGTGGTCTCAGAGCCGCTCAGGGTAAGTTTAATGTTCAGTGATACTCATTACAAAAAATTTTGCTCTTTCCCCTCCTTTGTGCTGCGCCCATTAGACAGTACAGCAAGCAGGAAGAGGAAAGAGCCTCCGCTCTCTAGATCAAGATGATTTTTGAGATGAAAGGGCAATTTTGTGTTAAAGCTGCACAGAAGCATAGTGTTGTCTGTTTTAAAAAAAGTTAGATAAGAAATTTCCCTCAGAGAAAGTCTGTTAACAAATTTGTAAAGCATACTCTTCAGTGATATATGTGGTGTTGTCTTTGACATGCTTACTCAATGACAGCATTACCACAGCACTTATGCAAGTCCTTGCAGTTACTTTATGACTAATGGCAGTTTTTTTTAAAAAAAATAATGTTCTTGAGATCCAAACAGCTGTTTCCTGGTGGGTGTGCATGGGGGGGAGCAGAGAACGTGTACGTCAACAGAACAAAGGCTGATCAGAATCCAAATGCTGATTTTAAAATGGTTTCTGTGTTAACACGTGTGTTTCTGTGTTCTAGTTGCTTTGATGTTTGTCTCCCCAGATTAAGAGAGAAAAGTGAAGGGCAGCAAGTATTGGCAGCTTGTATAAAGTTGGCACCGGCGTTTTATTCTCTTAAGGTACCAATAGGCCAAGTTTGACAGACAATATTAAAAATGTACACACCAAGATAAAACAAAGATCTGCTCACCCTTCCCCCCAGAAGCCTCAATAATTGATCAAACTGGCCCCCTGAGCTAATATGTTGACTAAATGTGCATTGAAATATATGACTCTTTTGGTCCTAAGCATGGGATGGAAGAGAGTTGTCATCTTTTTCTGTTAATTGCTCCAGGGGTTAAGATGCAGCCCCTGCATTCAAACAAAAAAATGCCCCCCCCAGCTTCTGGCTGTGAGTTGGAAGTAATGGTTGTCCATGCAGTTTATCCATTCCAGTGACTTAGATCAAGGAGTGACTTCCCCATCTTGTCCGAGATTCAGGCTATTTATGTCACAGAACTTAATGGGGAGACATTGAGGATGATGCTGTACCTTTTTTGGGGGGTTGTATTTGAGGTTCATTGAAATGGGACGGGGGAAAAAGATGGTTGCTTGAGTCTGTTCCAACTCTGCAGAAGGCAGAGATTGCAGAAGTCCTGATTTTAGGAGCAAAAGTGTTAATGGACAAGGAAAACTGAACTCTCATTGCCCAGGCTTTTTCTTCCTAAAGATTCTAGATCTCCAAGATTGAAACAGAGATACAGTTAACATGTCACTAGGTGCAGAGCTCCCTCCAAAATAAAAGACTGTCTATTTCCTGTGACGTAAGCTGGCCCCAAGCCAGATTTTGCAAAGTAGGCTGGCTTCTGTTTTATAACTCACATTTGGGAAATAAGCACAGCTTTGTTTTAGAAGGCAATGAAATACATTCTAATTATACAATGGAATTAAGGCAAAAGTGAATTGCAAGCAGTTATGTGCACCGCTCCTGTGTCATTCTGCATGTTTCTATGTAGGATATTGCAGATTAGGGTGATTTGAGAAACACTCACTTTTCCAATGGGGTTGCCTTGTTGTAAATGCCGTAAAGTACATTTTAACAGAGGAATGCACTTAAACCTGGTTTAAACAACCCTTGCAAAAAAATAAATAAGAATAATGCTAACAGAGTGTTATATTTACATCCAGAACAAATACAGAAATACTGTGTTTCCTCTGAGACAAAACAATTTCGTTTCATCGTGAGTTTTCGTAAACGGCAGTCCAGACACATTTTTCAGCCATGTGTCTGGAGAAGTGAGTTGCAGTAACTTGACGATACACAGGGTCCCTTCTAGCTCTGCAGTTCCAAGATGTTGTTGTTGTTGATGATGATGATGAGTCCATGAGAGTAAAAGTTACATTTGTTAGCCTTAAAGGTGCTACAGTGTTTCTGTTTTTGTTACTGCTACATCAAACGCAAGCTACTGCTCTGCAAAGTGTGTCGTATCTGTCTTTGATTTGTAATTAATGTTGCAAGGGAGAGAACTGTAAAATAGTTTTTACTAAGCAATCTGTGGAAGGGTCTGGTTTCCAGCAACTTTCAAGTTTGTGTTGTTTCCGGACTGCTGGGAAACATGTGGAAGCCACGTTCGCCCAACTGAATGTGTAAAATGATGTTCAAAGGCACTCTTAACGTTGTAATCACCACGTTGTTGCTCCGTATTAACAGCTGCCATGACTGTCAAAGTGGGAGATGCCCTGTTGTTTAATAACACCAGTTTATAAGGGCTAAGTATAAGTGGAGCATTTCTTTATGGACAAGGGTGGTGCTTAAGCTTTTTTTTTTTTTTTTTGCTTTCCCAGAAATCTGGAGCATTGGGAGGAGCATTTAGGGTGTGATCTTCTGTCAGTACGTACACGCATCTGGCATGCTGTAGGGCAGTCAGTCATGGATGCTGAAAAGGCACGCCTTCCTGGGCATCTTAATAACAAAACATGCATGGTGTTCGCTTCTTCTTTTTGGAAGGTAGAGATGGAAACGAAGGCCACAAGTTCATCTGTCTTGATGAAAGCACTAATTCCACATTTCTGGAGGCTCTTGATAGGGAACTTTTTTAATTTATTTCAAAAGCACACATTGTTTCAGATCATCGGTCTCATTCTGAACGTATGTTAACTTCTTGCTTGCGGATGAAATCCGAAGATCACAGATGCACACGCCTCAGTTGCTGGGGCCAACTACGTGCAGTGATTCTCCACCTGGGGTCCCCAGAGGTTCTTAGACTAAAACTCCCAGAAGTCTTCACTGCTAGCTGTGCTGGCCAAGCTTGCTGGGAGTTGTAGTCCAAGAACCTCTAGGGACCTACGGTTGAGAACCACTGCACTATGTCACGACAGCCTTTTCTATACGAGAGGAGACTTGGAAATGCTGGTGGGTAGTCATGTCACACCGATGCCTGTATGTAGGATTCTACCTGCTGGACCCCTTTTTATTTACCTGGAGTGTGTGTGTAGTGTATAAAAGAGAGTGTGTGTGTGTGTGTGTGTGTTAGAGAGAGAGAGAGAGAGAGAGAGAGAGAGAGAGAGAGAGAGAGAGAATACAGTTTTATTTCTTAGGGAAACACTTTTGCACGTACAGTGTCTATGACTCCCTTCCTGACTCCCCTGCTGAGATTATTTTGATGCAGAAACAAGGCTGGCTGACATGATTGCAAGGAGACGCAGGTATAAATCAGGAGTCTGTCTTGGCCCCTTTGCACCCCAATAAATGTTTCTTCGGCTAACACCTTGTAAGCTGCTTCATAAGACTCTGGACGCATTGGCTCTGGGCCTGCTTGGCTGATTCATCCTAAGATCAGCTGGTTTCCAAAAGGGCTTTTATGGTTCTGCTTTGCTTTTTCTGTTTTGTTTTGGGAAATGTTATTTTCCTTATGTTGTGAACTGTCATGGTCCTGCTGCAAAGAGGTGAGAGCCTAATGCAAATAACACCCACCTTGGATAAATCAGAACGAATTTCCCCAGAGTTTGTCTAGGTA